GGGGGGGGGGAAGAATGGTGTGACAAGAACGGCCGGTCATCGATGTAAGAATCAGGTGGATGATATGTACTGAAATCAATAATCGGGTAACTGAACGCCAGAGGGTTCTCGAGTAGGCTGAGTCCATCAGATCCAAACAGCTGATGTCATTTATGAAGGTCATCATCCGATTTGACGACAGCCATTGAAGTGGCCGCGTTTTAGGCTTATGGCTTCCACGATACTCTACAAAATCATAACCGTATCCATCGAGTATATCGCCATGGGAGGATGTTCAAAGAGCATGAACCGAGTAAAATTATCCATGGGATGATGTGCCCTTTTGGAGAATTATCCGCGGTTGTTGAGCACAACTGATGTTCCATCCAGGAACATCAATGCAAAGTGAAATTCTGCCACCCACTATAAAAAACAGAATCGTCTATGTAGCAAAAATCGCCAACCTTCGTACTTATCGCAGCCATTGTCAAAACATCCACCACCATAGTTTCACAACTTCGCCGACTGACCTACATGCTTACTGACTGCTAGTGGTTCATCCATGTTGACCGCTGATTTTTAGGACCGAGCATTTCCACAGCTCCGATGTGCAGCGGACGAAGTAGTGCGATAAGATGGAATTGCCGAAAACAACGAAAGCACATGGGTAGTGTGCTTTTATACACTATGACCTTTCAATGGGAAAGTAATGACGACTACTATCAAAGGGTGTAGGTCGTGTGAGGTAAGCACAGCAGCTTCACGACAATCTATCGATGTAAAAATGATGTGTGAGCAGCAGCCGAATAAAATAGTGAGATCAGCACCGAAGAGTATAGGATTAAACAAGACCAAACAAGAAGGTGCTTGTTAATCAAACATGGACCCCAGTCATCAGATGCGGTCCGAATCACGTTGAGAACCGGCTATGTATAGTGTGATATAGATAAGTGTTTTGTCTCAAAAACACTGAGGACAGAATGAGTACAGCGCAGCCCTATACCACACAAATTACTTACTGCTCAGATAGATAGTTCGCCGCCCAGGTACGAACCATAGCGTTAAAGTCCGCCTCGGGTAGGGTGGTAAACAAAGTGTCCAGTAATAACTGACTTGTTTCCGGCACACCTTCAGTGTCTAAACGATGGAGCAACTTGATCGGATTGGAATCGGAAGATCGGAACCAGGCTAGCACCAATTCTTGGGCGGCTAGTCTGACGTCGGCTGCGAAAATCAAGACAAAACGAGGTGTACCAAACGTTTGACTCAAATATTCTGAGGCAGGTGTATCGGCCAAAGAAGATCGTTGGACAGATTGTACATATCACTTCGGGAATATTTAAAGTACTTGCCCTACAGGAACCTACAAGTCGAACATCGTAAATTAGTCCGAGATTATCCAACCGACTACAGAGGTGGTGGCCAGTTGCCGTTGGTGTTTGCTTTTAAGCGGATCTAATGTCGGCGGACATGAAACTACTAGGTCCGCCAGAAACGATCGGACTTCACAATGGTCCAAAGAAGCTGCACATATGAAGAAAGCCTCGAACACCGAGGATCCCTTTTGAGCTGAGCTGAGCTTTTCCATCTACCTCGTGCCGCCATTGGTAAAATCCAGCCCGTGAAACCACTAATGCGCAACAGAAACGGAGGTCAATGGAAGAAAGGGTGAGTGGAATAATTCAACTGCCGAACCACATCGGTATTCGGACGAGAAATCTACGGGAGTCAATATTGGAGCCCTACAGTAGTAACTGCGAACCACCGAATCACGAACAGAACAATTCGGTTGCCAAGCTTCTCAGAAAGTAGAAAAACTCCAGAAGAGGGTGGTATTCCCTCACTATAGTCCTCGCATCTCAAAACAGACCTATGCTACATTTCGGAGGCAGGATCTGTAACTTTTGACCAGAACGTCCCGACTTTGTTCCTAATCGCTAAGGAAGATGACAAAATGTCGGGAATCAAGCCTCCAATTTTGGAGGAGGGGTTTAATATTAACCTGGCATATAGTTTTTGTTGCTGGAATCAGAAATGGATCTACAGAGCTAGCCTGTAACCACTGTTCGCGAGCAGTGGTTGCAGTGGAGCAATCTGTGAAGCCGAATCATCGTCATGGGAGACAATCGCCGTAAAGTAAGCTTAGGTGAGCTCACAGTACTGGTAAAACTCCTAACCACAAACTAGTCGGAAAAACTAAGGGATATCATCCCGGCACGAAGAGACAGGACATCGCTGTGGTGTGACGGTTTGTGTACCCCGGTGACCCACTGAGCTATATTAACGGACAAGTGAAGTCCAGCAAGTCACATGGTCAAGATAAAGGATTCAGCTTTGTAAACCATCCCAGTGAGCAGAACAGGAACTCAGAAAGCACCGACATATCTTTCATCCCAGTTATCCACCACCAAATAGTGTGCGTTCAAGCCTCATTCTCGCTAGATTTTCCGGAGTAAAGGTAGTCAGGCTGACACGCCAACGTTGGCTCGTTTTTCTCATTAGACTGCATTATCCAATTAAATGACATGCAAACACATTGACGATTTAATTGGACTATGGATGTCACTTTAAATGCGTTACAGGTTGAACTGACGGACTTCTGATCAGCAAGAAACCTCAAGCAAGCAACCTTGTATAATACACACGAGGCGTGTTGCACAACCGCTCACAGCGCCCAACACACTGTCGTTAAGTTTCGTATAGCAGGCATTCAGTTTCTTATAAGCGCATTGCCAACATTTATGATTTTTAACCAATTAAACCCCTGTTCTTCAACCACATGACCAGTTTACACATTCATCTGACCAGGCAGGGAATGCGCCAAAACACACCCCAAAACACTACTTAAATTGTGGTATCCCGTGTTTGGGCGGAATCTGACAAGTGTAGTGATAACTCATCAACGCAATACAATCAATAAAGTTCCAAAACAGAAACAGAAACGTGTTACAAGTGACCCAATGCATGAACAATTTACACTCCTTCAGAACTAGTGTGCGGAACAATTTAACTCTGGTTGCATTGTTCTGATTATCCGAACAGGCGAACTTCACCGGAACACACTATGCACGGCAGGGCAAGTAACCGCTTAAACGTCCGTCACCGATTCGAACGCTAGACCAGTATGTAACACAGTGAAGTACATAGTGCGCGAACTCCGTAAAGAGCCGTAACACAAGGAGCATACAATAATTCTAGGCGCTGCATGCGCAGTGATACCATGAAATAGCTCGCGTTGCCAGGTGTGAAACTTCTTGACTGGAACGTCAAAGAAGTCCACTTGAAACTAGTCACCAAGCCCTTACCCGAACGATCGGACAACCCGTCTTGCAAAATGCGAATACGCTTCGCAATCGATAAAGGCCGGAGCACATTGCGATCGGTGAGAATTTTGTAGGCAGTGCGGCGTACCGTATCCGAGACATCACGGCACCGTTCAATCAGACTTGGTAGAGTTTTCGTAGTTAGAACCATGGCTGCCAACGCCGCTCGGCGTACCTCTGTAGTCGGGTCGTGACGAGACAGCCAAATGAATGATTCCACAGCAGGACAGTCAGTTGTGGTAGGATCTTGCATGCGTGAAAGAGCCTGAATGGCTTGAACTCGGACGACCGACTGGAGAATGATTGAAGAAACGGGATTGTAATTGGTGTTACTGATATCAAAAATAACTTCAAATTACTACACTACATTTGCACAGAATGGGTCCGTCCTCATCCACGGACAGAGATGAATTACAGGACATGGTCTAAGTGACCTACACTGGCCGTCTCCAAGTGATAGTCAGTTAGAAAATAACAGTTATCATCGAGATGAAGCCTTTAAAACGCCAGTACTTCAATGAGGCCTTTAGGACTGTCAGCATAGAAACAACTGGCATCGAACTGCCGCCTCACGGTTGGACAACCAGGCCTCACAACAATACCTTGCATACGATTTCATTTATCCCCGAAGCAACAATGATCAAAATAAGGCAGCGAGATGAGAAAACTTTCCAAATTTCTCCGGCCTCGAAATGAATCTAGACAGCACTTGTCTTCGATACAGCCTGGAAGCACTGGTTGTGAAGTAAAATGATTTTTTACCGAAAGTCCTATCTCAAGAGCACAAGCGGTCCTATACAAATTTCCATGACTCAGAAGGAAGAATAACTCTGTGAAGGAAAGCATTGGAGAACCTAGTTGAAAAGCTATTTAATTTGTGCTGTATATTTAGATTACTCTGAGAGAGAATGGTATACGGAAAGCATATCGGATAACCCAATAGAGTTTCACAAGTCACAAGTGAAATCAACCATCACTAGCAGTTGTGCCGTTCCCTCAGAATGCGGCGTCACGCAACTGTGTATTGCAACTAGGTTTTTGGATCAATAGGTTTGATGTCGAACTCACAATGCGTGATCGACAGATCGTTCTACAGCAACTACGGTTCCTTGCGCAAATGGATCTCAGTAGAACGGTAGGACAGCCATGCACTCAAAGCACCGTATAAATGTGGTGCCCTTTCAGACCAAAAGTGGCATGAAACCCTAAGGAAGTATGCGTTCAGACGGTGCCCAAGCCAGAACAAAGCCGAACGGGCGACCCAAAACCAAGGCTCTACGATACCATTTGGTGATCCAAGGCCGTCCTTTATCTGGTACTCTCCAGGACGACCATTTAGTGATACCATACAATATCTCCAGAAGTAGGTGAATAGTCCGCGTCAAATCAATATCATTTCTACTTGTAACACTTAATAAAAGTCGCCAACCCATGACACCCTTTCGGTGATCAGCTGCCATGCCAGCAGAAGCATAGCGGGTTAACTAGTGCAAGGTTGCCCAGGCCTAGACATGAGCGATCGAGATGCCGGAGTTGGGTTCCAACCATGGAGCCTCTGATCGGCAAGTTCACGCCTTAGCCACTTACTTAGCTGGAACTCGAGATAAAAAAAATCGTTCAACTGTAACACCATTTCGATGCCTAGCTGCCATGCCACCCGAAGGAAGCACGAGGGTTGTCAGTTTGCCAAGGCTAAGATAACACCCGTTCGCTGGATCGAATAATCAGAGGCAGCATGCAACGAAATAACGGCATTTCATTACCACTGTGATGATGAAACGATACATGTATGCTGTCAACGTGATAGACATTAGATGTTGAAGAACACGCTTAAGTTGAGCCAGAAAGATGCACCTTGATGCACTTTGATGGGCAGTGAATCATTGGCACGAAATGATAGGTTTCACCCTCAACGTTAGTTGTTGTGGTCCAAAAGTAACTGGTACTAAGGTGATGTAAAACAACTGTTCATAGCCATTTTGACTAACAACAGCTGCGTCACTCAGGTGCAGCTATGCACATATGCCTGGACGGTGATACTCGCACAGTTGTCGACGGACTATCTAGTCCATGAAATGAGACGATTTGACCTGGTCTACACACCAATTCATTTATAACCGTATGGCTCTTGAGAATTTGTGGAAGCATGATGTAGCTCCTACCGTACAATTTAATCTGCCGAAATAACAGGCGCTGCGCTTTTTCACTCAATTGCACCAGTTAAAGCAGCTTGTTCAAAGCTGCTTACCGAAGTGGTATCTAGACGATTAGAATGCTCTCTACCCTTCCTTGAAAAGTAGGGTTCTTCTGGATCGCTTATTTCATTATTTTGCTGAAGAACGGTAAAAAAAACCTAAAGCCTGCGTTTTTGGAATGACTTTCTATGGATCAACCAAACAAAGGAATGTCACTTTTGATAATGCACGTTCACCGGTTACAAACACAAATGACCTCAAAACAAGTGTCTTCGACATATCGCGTGCCATATATATTCGGACCAAAATCGCCTGACATCAGAGAACTGATGGATACATAAAAGATAATCGTTCAACCGGAGTCACCGTGTCATTCGATGGAGGCACGAGGGCCGGGATACTGTCAGACAGGAGCAGTCAAGATGCCGAGGTTGGGTTCGAACCACAGGCCTTCCGACCAGTAATTTTGCAACTTACCTCGAGATATATATATTATATATAGGCCAGATGCCACCCACTTGGACAACATGACAATACCAAACCCCACAGCATCTAACCAAACAAAAGCGACCAGACCGAAGCTGCCACCTTGACGTCGTGGTCGGGCTTGACTGCTGCAATGATTCCGAGGACTACACTGGCTGGAACTTCTTTCCACAAGGTGCAATTATGCTAGGAAGGCAAAAAAGGAGCAGTGAGACCCCGTAATACGAGGGGAAAAAGTCGTCGTATCCCCTGCGGTAGCAGTGTGAAGGTGATAAGGTGTTTCCCCCAGCTAACCAGCATGTTCATATTCATGGAAGCAGCGATGCTGCGTACGCTCGAGTAGTGACTGGTTATGAAAGGTCAGCCCTAAAAACCGCACAATCCGATCGTCGAACGGTTGACCGTGACCGCCGGCGAAGTATTAATACGAGGGAAATACTCACTATCAGCCTTTAGTGCCTGTGGGGTCGAAGTGCTCCCGGGGCGTCCGCTCACAGATATCGAGCAAGCGGGTAACATAGCTCTCCTTGGATCTGGCATTGTTGTGATGCAAACAATATTAAATAAGCTAAATAACTGTGCCTCGCCGTTTGGCACGCGCTTTCACACCTCCAAAGTGCAAAGTGCTACTGCAAGACTGGGTATGTTGGAAACCTCGCCTCATGCTTGCGGTTGAAGTAATAGGCAGGTTTGTCTATCTGAACAGGTGTATCATTCCCGGTGATCTCGCGGAAGATGATATTTCCGTCCGGATTAGGGTCAGATCAGCTTTTGTGAACCTGTGCCACCTACGACACAGGCGTGACATCAGCACAACTGTCAAGTTTACTATGCTGCGGTGAGATCCATATTGTTATACGGGTCAGAAATCTGGCCACTGCGCGCCAAGGTAGTCGAAAAACTTCCACTGTTTGACCATCGATGTCTCCCGAGCACTGGCCAAGTTTGGTGGAAACACCCAATCAGCAATGCTGAAATACGTCGAATGGTATTCGGAAGAAGTAACTCACCCACGGTAGATAAACTGATTACACTGCATAGGTTGCGTTGGCTTGGCCACGAGCTTCGTATGCCAGTCGACCGACTTTCGCGAAGGAAGGGAACGAGCCAAGGGAGCTCAAATAATGACTTGGCAGTGAAGCATGAATGTTAATACCTGGATGGGTACCCCGGAACGGGCCACATCAATGGTTAGAGACTGTCAAACATGGCGCAGTAGTGGCCTCAATGGCACCCGTGCATTCAAGCTATTTCTTTCGATGAATAGCTCCCTTCCCAATCCCTCCACCTAAAAGCCCACTGACAGGCCTGTATTTGTGTACCAATTTACCAGATCCGACCCCCAATGCGCAGCTACCTCCCCTACCTCCCCATATCATCCGTGGACGAAATTGTGGTGACGACAACCACCGTATAAGTGTACAGCTGATAATGAAAATGATGTGATAGCGAACAAAAGCACACAAATACCGGCCGGCATCCAATGACCTCAGCCGACTTGAACCCACTCAGCGCACATAGCATGGCAGACAAAAAAACATGCGACTGCTGGTGCCTGTCACCCTTCTGGATTATCATTCAACTCTTTGCCCAACCCACTATACAATCACACCTCCGTACATCTTGGCTCAGCTAAGTACTCGACCGCTTTCCAACGCCCGCATCTGCACCTCTACTCGAACCTGCATTTGTAGTAGTCGTAAAAACGTGCGTTCACTCGTGGACAGGTCAGCGAGCTGCTTTCAGTCGAGATAGAACTTGAGATGGCCCATTGATTAAGGCGCAAAGGTCCTAAAAGCTCCTATCTGGACTTAGGCAACTTGACAGTATCTCAGCCCTCATGCTTCCTTCGGGTGGCATGCCAGCTAGGCACCGGAAGGGTGTTACAACTGAACGATTGTTGATTATGTTATTTTGGTCAAACTTCTATTTTGTCTGCTGCACTTTTAGAACTCGAAAACAACACCCGCGAGCAATCGTTAAACTTACAGCATCATAACTATCTTGAAATAAGCGTAGTGCCTCAGCTCAGTTCTCGGTCCGAACCCTCGCAGCCAGAGTTTTCGGAAAAATAACCACCACAGGTGCATAAGGGGTATTAAACGCCCAAAACTAAGCGAAAAACACGTGTAGATTGTGTTGTATGAGGAGAGGGAGCGAGATGGTTCAAGTGGTTAGAGCACGAATTTACTGACCGGAAGGCCCATGGTTCAAACCCAATCTCAGCCTCGCGACTTCCCCTGTCTAGGCTTGGGCAACCTGGCACCAGCCCTCGTGCTTCCTTCAGGTGGCGTGGCAGCTAGGCACCGGAAGGGTGCTGCAGCTGAATGATTACTTTACTTTTACAGTATGAGGAGAAAACATTGCGAAAACTCCGACTCCTTCCTTCTAGATGCGGCATTGGTAACTGGCATTCTGCGGATACTGGATTATGATTGGCTATAGGGTCCACACTTTCGGCCAATCAGAGCTCACCTTGATGGTGGACTGACAAGTGACTAGATTTTTTGGCGAATCGCGTGCGGATTAGACTGTGAGCGGTAAAACGGTTTTAGTGTGGGTTTCCGGCTAACATATCTAGACAGTACGAACTAAGAACTTTGGGTAGATCCGTCACTGCTGCAGCGGGTTTTGTCGTTGTTGGCCTTGCTCCACTATCAATGGGGACACAGTAACGACCGCCGACATCGGGTTTGAGGTCAAATTCCTGTAAGGTCTGGAGTTTTTCACCGAATAGCCCCGGTAAACCTAAGAAACAAATTTCTCATTTAGAAGATGAGTCACATGGCATATAAACCTATCAAGGCTTACCACTAAACGGTGGAAGGTCACTTCGATGACAATTTTCGACCACAAGGAAGAGATAACCGCAGCCATAAGCGACGTTAGTGTCCCCAGAAAGATGAAGACCACTAGACCTCCGGACAGCTAAGTGCACTCCTTATTGCAAAACGCTTTATTCCCTCGATCTTGTAGCGTGATTCGATTGGAAGTTTAGTTGGAAATCAGCTCAAATGAAGCATGAATAGACAGAGAAGGACGGCGTAACTGTGAAGATCAGTACTGTCGGAGTTTTAACGGCAGTTGCTTCAACCTGTCTGTAAGTTCATTATCACACTGGAATTCGAGTGTATGATCCTATGATCTCTTCAACAAACTACTAGCTGATTCAGTCTTTAAACCTGTGGCTTCCATCCAACTGGTTCGAACGGAGCTACGTTCTAATGGTATAGAGCCCCTTTAGTTGGTCTAGTATTATTGTGCCCCCTACCCTTAAACAAGATAGGCTCCCAACAGCGTTCTTCAAAAGCAATGGTGAGTACTTGTGTTCTGCTTTCACCAAATTATTCGAAATCGTTTGCAAATAAGAAAGCGTTCTAAAAAGCTGCGATCAACCGAGTATTTTAATTTCATTCATACAAACGAGTCGAGCCAACCTGTGGGAATAAACCTTATACCTATCGTAAAAGGAATGCTACCCACCTAGTAAAGCCTCCGGAAGGTGAAACAATATTTCGACTGAGTATGGGGTGCAGTGGATATATCCTTAGTTCAGTCAAATATTAGTCAAAAAGAGAGCGCTGTGAATACCATCAACAAACGATCCCTAATACCAAAGGGGCCTTCGATTTTGTAGGTAGAATAATCTTTCGGGATTCCTTCGCGCAAAGCACGACGGAATGCGTAGTGCTTTGCTCTTCAGGATTGATCACATTCTGCTGTACAATTGATATCTTCGAAACCGACTAACCTAGGCGTTGGAATCAGGTTCCCTATTGAGATAGTGATAGTTAATTGTTCTTAAGTCACCACACTGACAAATTTCAACATGTGCGCTAAACAGAAATCGCCGTAAATCACATCTACCACGTGCGCAAATGCAGTCAATGATCGCGCGTGGCTGCTGTAAATGGTGGAAACTGTCAACCAAAGGAACAAGTGCTTAATTGGTCAAATGAATCCCGAACAGAACGAAGTGCGTTGTGGATTGTTACACAAGACCGAACACGACCTGTTTTATGAAAAAAATACCAACAAAATTTGGGAATATGCTTCCGACTTTCTGTCATAACAATTTTGCCCGCGGTACAGTTCACAACAAACCATCCAGAAGTCTTCCAACAACTAGTACGGTTTGTCAGTGCTGTCCATCGTTCCCCATCGTGTTCAATAGTATCGTTTATAAAAACCTTATAAAAGCCCAAAAATCTAGGAACCGGAGTGCTTCCATGAGACGTAGTGGCGGATCTGGATTACGCTGATGTTTTAGTTCTGTCAATGGCCAATCACAAATCTACGGAATAAAATATAAGAACTAGTCCCATATTTCGATATGCGTTTCACACCCTCAGAGTGCAAGGCTGTTTAATCTCCAAATAAACTACAAAGTGAGGAGCCTAAATAAGCTCATGTACCTTGGCAACTGCACAAGCCACGACCGTCCCGTAACAGAAGTCAATGAATGCAATACCCAAGTGTGAACAACATACGCTGTTTGTGGCATCAGAATCTAATTTCTGTTAGGCCCATACGGGGTGACTGCCAGAGCAGGGCGTCACCTCTCTCAAATTTAGTTGAAAGCATAGTGGAGGCACAGTATGTACACTGCATGCAGGCACAGGGGACAGTTTAACTGGTTTGCTTTGAAATTGAATAAGCTGGACCCTCAAATATTAAAAAACGACGCGGCACTTTGTCAAAGCAATGACACAAACGTAAACTAACCTTGACATCTTGGACACGACGCAACAGAATGTCTTGCAGACCTTGATACAACTCATCTGGTATCACTCCATTTTCGCCAATACCCTCAAGCAGTTTGTGAATGATTTGCACACAGCGAAAACGAACAGCAGGGTTGGGGCATTCGTTGTACTATAGATAAACAAGGCAGCAGAAAACGAGTTAATATGCAGCAACAGTAGGAGAGAGCCTGGTAGTCTGTAACACAGTTGGGCTAAGGAGATAAAATAGCTGAGGAAGCCGAAAATGCATAACAGTAAGGATATAATTTCTAGAACTGTCAGGAATTCACTAGGATTCAGACAATCGCGTCCTCTGATATACGCATAGTCCTAGATTTTTTTTCAGATTGAACGAATAAACAAATAAGGTGATTCCGACTCCGGGCACTACAGTCTTACTTGACGAATAAAGTCCGGAATGCTAAGGCAGTCCTAGCTATCTACATAACGAAAATGTTTGGATAAATTATATGTTTATATGGGTCGCCAGAAGCAGAAATACGGTCGGAAATCTGCCTCCACAATACTATGGAGCGAGACAACTGATTCAAAGTATAAAAATTGTGAAACATGGATACCCGCGAAGGCTTAACTGAACCGTATGGGACGGAACCGTCCACCAATTCAAAGGCATATACCAACTGCGCATCATAACGTCCAAGTGGTTTTCGCGGACGCCGGGTCAGGAGCTGTTTTAACTTCAATTCGATTAATGTGTTGGATATAAAGAAAACAATTCAACTCGAATAGCTTCGTGCAGATTAAATTGTCACTGTGCCACTCAATGTTTGGCCGACGAGATCCGTGAGTAATTTGAGTGACCCGGTGAAGCAGGAAAGGACCTACCTATTGTCCACACACACAAAAACAGTTCAGCCGTAACACTTTCGGTGCCTAGCTGCCATGCCACCCGAAGGAAGCACGAGGGATGGGATACTGTCATGTTGCCCAAGCCTAAACAAAGGAATTCGAGGGGCAGAGGCCGGATTCGAAAAACGGATCCTCCGATCAGTAAATTCACGCCCTAACCTGAGCTACACCAAACGCTGATACACGTGTGATTGTCAAATAGTTCAGCATGATGACTGTTCGGGTTCCGCAGGCAATCTGACAGTATCTCAGCTCTCGCGCTTCCTTTAGGTGGCTCGCAAGGCGGGCGCCGAAAGGGTGTTACAGCTAAACAATTGCTATTATTATTATTATTGAATCGTTTGAGTGTACTGCACATTAGTGAGACGGATAAGAGTGATGAACATCAACTGCTTAAAGTATACTCACTCTCATACAGAATACGAACAAACGCAGTAACAGACGGTTGTTCAGCGTGTCCACTGGCCCATCGTTGTCCGACTTCCCACAGAAGAGGGCAAACTTCGTGATAAAATCAATCGTCCGTTCCCGATACGGTGTCCGATCACCACTAACTAAGCTGTAGCGACAAAGCTCGAGGAATTCGTCGCAAAAGTGACCGAATCGAGACTGATGGGAAGGGAGGCAAGTTGAAATGAGGGCATAAGTGTGTGACCAGAGCGACGTTTGCGTCATCCAAAACAGCAACAATACGTGGAACGGTGGTTCTAATCGACAAGGAAAACTTCAGACTCCAGTATGGTACCTCTTGTACGTGAGAAAACATTTTTTTATCTCCAAATAGCACCATGGCCGCAATTCTGCAACCTTTCTGCTGCGAGAATCAGTCAGACGACTACCACATGGAAGTTAAATAATAGTTTTCAACTAACATTTCGTCCTTTAAGTGAACCCAATCTATGCTACAAAGCCGAAGCATTAAGAAACCGTTTCATCCTCATCGGGAATCACCAGCACTGCACATCCCACAAAATCCTACAATTTTCCGAACTCGTGACCTCGAGGCTATTAGTTGAACACTAACCGTTCGGCCACGAGTGGCTGATCGGAAGTGTGGTTAGCTCCTACTCAGATGGGATAACATGCCACTTAGCCTTCAATCACGAATCTACATCGTGTAGTCATGTGCAAACTGGTTCCTCGATCGATAACTTCCCATATGGAAGTTTCACTCGCCTTGTGAAACCATATATTTTTGGTAGTGGGGATTATGGGATTTCCACTCGAGATTTAGTCCTGTAAGTGAACCCAATCTATGCAAAACACCGTACAGCTTTCACAAGAGCTTGGTAGGTAATCTGTAGTTCTTACCTGGGCAACGCTTCGCCTTTGTTACAAAAGTTCCATCAGGCCGAGTGAGCAGGCTACCAAATGTTAGGACGGTCAGGTGCTAACGAACAATTCGATCACTTGTGGTATTTCACTAAAATAACATCCTCATTCTGTTGTAGTCAAATGAGACACAGCGCTCTTCCCTCTATAAGTTCATCCTCAACAAAGCTTATCTTAATCTGGTCTCATTTGTCTTCTTCCTTAGGATTTCGCGTTGAATTAAGCGACAGAATAAGTTCCATCAATCGCCTAAACCATCCAGCTATTAAACAGTTCCACTACTGCCAATGGGTCTCCTACGATGTCAATTTCGACTGACCAAATTCAGGTGGTTTCGGAACACCAGCAAACGTAGTTTAAGCACGCCTAACTGCAGTGACAAAACAATTTTAGCACATGCGACTGAAAACCACAGAAGAGCTGACCAAAAAATCTGAGTGTTTAGCATCCAGAAAGTAGTTAAAGTCAACCAGAAATTTCAGTGCGGACTCTACTGCTAATTCTATCACTGAATCTACTTTTGACGAGGATGCAGACCGAACCTTCGACTCTTGGCTCAAAAAGTACCAAGATATAGTCAAAGTTGATTTCGCTAAGAAACGTGACCCAAGGAAGGTGTCATGACTATGTAAACCATACTTTTCATATTCTGATAACTGGTAATTTTTACTCTACATTTTCGCCTCATGTACTATCGTCATTAGACGACTAAAGCGGACATCAAAGCGAACTTTCCTTCTAATCTCACCTGGAACCGCTCGACTCTCGCACCAATTTAATCACCTAATGGGGAAATGGATTATATTCTCCGATCTATGACTCTTGATGCTGATCCTGACTCACCGGGTGCAAGGAAATGATGGACTCATTGGTTCGGTGCCTTCATAGCTTATATTAACTAAATCAAACCTCAAAATGTAAATAAATTGGAAACTCATTCGTCACATTGAACATGCAGTGCATGATTTCATTGCAGAATGTAGCAACTACAGTTATGCGATAAGTCTGCTGGAAAAAATGTATATTCACCGAAAAATACAGTGTATGTATGCCACCAATTAGCTACGTACAAACAAAAACCCGGCCAAAATGTTGACCAGTAGGTCCAAAAGCTGAAGTCACTTGCTACAGACTGCGAGTTCAAAGCAGTATCTGCTACGGAACATAAAAAAGCAGTCCAAGATTTTTTGACGAGCGGACTGCAGTTGGGCGCCATTCAGATCCTGCTTACCTTTGTGATTTGGATCTTAACAAACTTCACGGAGCCGCACAAGCTCACAAACTAGTACAGAAACAATCACAATCATAAACATAGAGACAGTCTGTCACTTGTTCTGTGCCTACTGCTTCGTCGTCGGTTAATGCCGAAAATATAGCTTTTTCCGCGAAACAACCAAAGCCAGACCATCAATCGCTTAGCATCATTATCATCGTCAACGACAGCATGACATCAGTGTTCAACACCGATATTTTGCCGCCGTACAATCATGATTTATTTGAGACTTATTGTGAAAAGAATACAATCAGTACGAGGTGCCTACGTCTCCACTCATCCAAGCAATCTGAATAGAAACTGAAAAACAAGAACGCCACTGACATCGGTTGGCAGCCGTATCCTCCAGCCTCAACGAACAGGGGCAGCAGGGATTATGCGAACCATTCCTGGAAGGCGAGTGGCACTGACAGCACCCAAACGTTTCATAATTCCGTTCACACACCCCTTAGAGCTCAAGGGTTGGTACCTCTCTGCTCCCACCTTTATGGACTGGGCACAGAAAACAGCTATCTCTTCGGCAAACGATGGTTAGGCATACACAACACAGATCCCAACCAACGGAGCTTCTGGTGCTGGACACATTCTTCAATGGAAATACCCGGTGCACAAACCAAAACTCGCTTTCTAATTGCCTCGTTACGAATTCGCCGACAAAAAAATCGTTCAGCTGTAGCACCCTTTCGGTGCCTAGCTGCCGTGCCATCAGAAGAAAGCACCAGGGCTGGGATAAGTAAGTTCGCGCTCTAACCACTTGGGCCATCTCGCCGACACCAACCCACGAGCTATGGTTCTGAGACAACGATTGTCGAACACCTGAAGACGTCTCAGTTCCGCTGCTCGAATAGGCCAAGTCTCACAGCCATACAACAAAACAGCCCGTACTGTAGCTTGATACACACGTCCCTTCAGATTCAGGGATAAACCATTCTGACGCCATAGGTGTCGCAAGTTAGCAAACGCGGCCCGAGCCTTGCAGATTCGTGCATTCACCTCATCTGACACACTGCAATCAGAACTAGTACAGCTTCCAAGATACGTAAAACGCTCCACAACTTCCAGTACCTCTCCCTGGATTGTAAGGGGCGTGTTCAGTGACTGCACGTCCACAAGCATGACCTTACACTTTGTAGGTGCAAAAGGCATACCAATGGACGGGATGACTTTGGTCAGTTCATCCAAGAATACCTGCGCCTTCTCCTCCTCTTCGAACTATTATATTTACAAACTTTCGGGGCATTCTTTGGTGGGCAAACGTCTCAAGAAGAACAGACCGATCAACCGAGTCGAATGCGCCTCGGAAACATCAGGGTCTGAACACCTTCCACCGCTCGTCCCACGATTGCATTGATCACGAAGTTAACTAGGAATGGAGAAAGTGCGCATTCCTGACGGACACCACTTTGTGTACGGAAGCTTTTAGAGAGCCCGTCGTGTAATCTCACACGTCCACAAAGACTTCAACCCTTCTTTGAACAATGCTGGTGAACGGTCATCTGCGCGGGAATTTCGGTGGCACTTGAGAGAACGTGCGCAGTCGTAAGTCTCCGAAGCCGTAGAGGGTTCCATGAGCACTGTCCAGGGTTCTACGTCAGCTATATGCTCCTGATGAGTGATAGCTGGTGGCCACGACAGCCGTTGCTCAAAGTATCCGGCCCACCGACCGAGGCGTTATTCTTTCACCATCATCATCATGGTCAGCTGTAATAACCGTGTACTTGTCGTACAGTGGTTGTAGCTGCCACAGTTTCGTTCACCGATGATTCGAGGAGATGGGGTAGGTAGCGGCGCATTGCAGGCGGGAGATGATAAATTAGTGCGTTGCGTGAATACTGTAGGTGGACTCTTAAGTGGGGGGATTGGGAAGGGAGCTATTCATTGAAAGCAATAGCTTGGATGCATGAGCGCGACTGGGCTATATCTGACAATATCTCTAATCATTGATATGGCCCGTCTCAGGGTCCTCATCCAGGAAGACGGCAATGACCAGCGCAGATGAGTTTGCTGGTAATGGCTTTTACACTTTGCTGCCAAGTCATAATTTGACCGCCTGTGACTCTCTTCCATCCATCAAGTGGTTGTGCGAAAAGAGCCCTTCGAGGAAGTCGGTCGAGTGGCATACGAAGCACGTGGCCAAGCTAATGCAACCTATGCAGTGTGATCAGTTCATCTATTGAGGGTGAGTTATTCTTTCCCAATACCATTTGACGAACTTTAGCATTGCTGATCCGGTGTTCCCACCAGATTCGGGCAATGCTCCGAAGTCAAACACTGAAAGTCTTTTGACGTCCTCGGCGCGCAGAGGCCAGGTTTCTGATCCATATGGTAATATGGAGCGCACCGCAACAGAGGAGCCGATGTCACGCCTATGCCAAAGGTGGCGCAGGTCCACAAAAGCTTCTCTGGCCATCCCAATCCGGATGGAAATATGATCTTTCGCCAGACCACCGGGACTGATACAGCTGCCCAGGTAAACAAATTTGTCTACTACCTCACTTGTTTCACCCGCAAGCATGAGGTTAGGGTTCGAGCCCACCCAGTCTTGCAGTAGCACTTTGCAGGTGTGAAGCACATGCGGAACCGTGAAGTGGAATTATTTGGATGTAGTATTATTTGCATTGCCACGGGGTCAGATCCCAGAGAAGCTATGTCGTCTGCGTTCTCGATATCCTTGAGCGGACGCCTCGGAAACACTTCGACCCCAGAGACATTAGAGGCTGGTAGTGATTCTTCCATGATCGCAGCAACGACGAAGTTGAAGAGGAAAGGTGAAAGAGAACAGCCATGACGAACATCATCATCAAAGACAGCAACATCAGAGTTGGCACTGATGCTCCACTACCGTACAACCATAAGGTTCGTCAATATACATATATATA